GAATCATTATTTATAAATAACCTTTCTGTTCATAAGAGCTTAACTAAATATTATCTCTTGTGTTTTATCAAGATTAATAATTCCTCCTTTTTCTTTTTGTTGTTGAAAAAGTGCATGAGTTCTTTCTTGCCATTGTCTTATATTTGGTGAAAGTTTTTTAATTAATTCTCGATTTTCTTCTTTATTATTAATTGTTTCAATTGTTGATGATGGTAATTGTTCAATAACAGTACTTGAAAGTATTTGTCGACATACAGGATCTTCAATATCATTACGAAAATCTTTTTCCATAGCAAATTTACATTTAATTGCTTCTTGATATTTTTCTTCTAATTCATTTTTTTTTATTTGTACATATGATGCAAGACAATTTTTATGATAAAAATGATGACAATTTGTTTTTATAATATCATTTCGATTATTAATTAATGTTAAACATATAGCACAAGCTTCATGTGGTAATTCATATAATGATAATTTTGAACGTATTAATTCAATACATTCATATAGAACACATGAACCAGAATTTAATTCAAGACATGAAGATATTAATGAATTTAATTCATCTAATTGTTGATCTGTTAAACCACGTGAACGACAAAGTGTTATTTTAGGTGAATCAATATCAGGATATGTTGATGGAAGTTCAGCAATTAATGTTATAAATAAAAGACGTTTATCAGGATCGAAATCATTTTCATCACCATTCGAATAAATTGTTATACTAATAGATGTTTCTTGATCATTATTAATAATTAAATCATCCAAATAAATTGATTTTAATACAGTTAATTCTTCATCCATATAGACAGATATTTAATGTTCTTGAGTAAGAATATGAAAAAATAAATGTTCTTTATGTTATTATTAATCATCATTGGTTTGAATAGAAACTACCAATCACAAAAAAATTAGGTAGAGCGCTAATAGTCTTTATTAAAATATATTCATAAAAATATTTATTTATTTTATTAGAAAAAAAATTTAATTGAATATTTTTATTAAAATAAAACTAATATAATATAATCCAATAATTACCATTAGAATATTGTTTATTGACAGTTATGTCCGTAGTTTTTTTACTATAACATACTATAGAACCGTAAATGACTTACATTTTATTAGTATAGATTCTACCTCAGTTATGCACTTAGTATTTAGCGCTAAAGTAATAAATCCTAAGCAATAATTTAGATATTGAAAAATTCTACATTTAGTTTACAATTGAATGATATACTACTTGCTAGGGGAAAGTTTTAAAAAATATGTGTTATAGAGTGGCAATGCTTTACTTGTGTTGCTCTCTATAATTTTCACTGAAACAGTTCTTGACAAAATGATAAGAATATGTTGACATCTCTAGTAAACATATGATAATTACGATTCTTTTTACAATTCTTTACTATATCATAAGAAAATATTCTAGATTTATTTATTACATCAAGATTTCATATAGATGCCACTAATTGAAAATATATCTGCTAATATTTGCAAGAAAGAAACGTTGTTTAATTCATGTGACAAATCTATTACTAACCAATATTGACAATAAAACTACGAAAATAAATTATATGTATATATACATATATTTTTTTTAAACCTTGATTGCATTCTTTATGTTAATTTATACGAATAATATTGTTTACAGAGTACGATTAGAATTAGAAAACTACCAAAACATTGTCAGATCATCCAGATTTGAAGTAAAAATAATGGAATAATGAAAACATAAAACAAAGTGAATTATGTAAATCTATGACTCTCATGGATCCTTCGTTGAATTTAACCGAAGTTTACTAGAAAATGACAGTTTCAATCTTTGATTTCGAATTTTCAATAATTGAACACGTATATTTTCTTCGATATTGGTAAATGATAACATTTTCTTGTAAACAATCCTGTATAGAAAAATAGTTTTAGTTGCAATTATTATGTATGGTTTTTCTTTAATATATATTATATTTATTTATGAATCGTTATTTTCGAATGACTCTGTTTTGGTCTTTACGGATCACTAACATCCAATTATTTCCTGTAAACAAGTTATTGTTTGCTTTGATATATTACAAAGGAAACGTCTTGTTTATCATATATATTTTCATAGCAAACATAACACATTTGATTTTCTAATAAAGGAAGCAGAAATACTATTTTATGTTAATACTTTAAAGACAAAAAAAATCGAAATACTCTGATTAATCTTTCGAAGAGTTCGATTGACTGTAGGATTACATGGCATAATCTACTTTTTAATTTTGCTTACAACATTTATAAAAGGTTACTGAGAACAAGCGTAAATGTTTTTTTCTAAAATCGAATACTCTTGTTCGAATGATAATTTAGTAGAAATAATTCAAAAGCATTTATAACTTTTTTAATTCTATTTCGAACATAAAAATCATCTTAATAGATGATGATGAATTATTTCGTTGATTTCTTCAATAAATCAAAATCTTTTTTTTTTTTTGTTTTAGATTTTTGTTACATTGAAACAAATTTTTTTTCGTTAAATGTCAAGTCTTTTGACTTTTAATTATTCGACGCCATGAAAAAGTATAGTTCTTATTGTTAGTTTACTAATAATTTTCTTTTTTATTTATTTATTATAAGAAACATTCATTACTTTAAGTCATTTTTCTTGCTGTAACAATGTTCTATTCAATTAAAATTATGTCAAATTTACAAAAAAATATATTGCTTCAAATTGAAAGGAGAAACAGCACGACTTAAGTACTTTGGAGTATCAGAAAGTACTAGTAAGTATTGTACTTCAAAGTACTAGAATCGCACTTGTTCCTCATTGTTCAAATAGAATATGAACAAAGAAAAAAAAACATCCAACAATCTATCAAAGATCATTATCCATACAATATAGTTTCCATTATAAATCTTTGTAGATTTTTTTTCTTTTGATTGTTTTTTATATTTATTATCATAAAATAAAATGTTATTTTCATTTAATTTAATGAAAAATTTTCTAATTTAGATTTCTTTTTTTAGATGTTTCCAGGTTTACATGTTGCAACATAAATTATTTTTCTATGGACAATATTTTTTAAAGGTCAATACCCCTTATCGTTTATCCTATATTTCTCATCGTCTTGTATCATATGATCCACATGAATCTCCAACTGTTCCTCATATTCATTCAACTCCAACATTAGCATTAACAGATAAACTTCCTTCATCATGTCATATACTTATTGCTGGAGGTGGAATTATTGGTCAATCAATTGCTTATCATTTAAGTGAACTTGGTATTAAAGATATTGTACTTGTTGAAAAAGCAAAGTAATAAAAATGTCGAAAACATAAATTTCGCCGTACTGACTTTCGACTGCATTTCTCTGTTTTAAATACAATCTATACACTGATTACCATGTTTAACACGGCCATACATCATTAGGTAAGGCTAAGAGTTGTATCTAATGTGAGCAGATACTGTTTTCGATTAGATATAGACAAGATGATCTTGATCTCGTCGATGTCTTCTTTCGAAAGTCTACGGCGAAATTTATGTTTGTCCAAAAGTGGGTTTTCTTTTATTAAAGATTTGTTTTTTTTTGTTTCTTAAACAAAACAGACTAGCATCTGGTTCCACATGGCAAAGTTCTGGACGAGTATCTTATTTACAAAATACAAATGTTGAAACACATTTTACGAAATATTCAAGACAATTATATGAACGATTACATAAAGAAGGACATGATATTGGTAAAATTGAAAAGTTTTTTTAAATAATGTAATTTTCTTTTGTTCGTCATAGGTTTTAATGAAACAGGTAGTTTATGGATAGCTCAAACACCTGATCGACTTCATACACTTAAACGACAATACTCTGCAATAAAAGCATTAGGTATTAATTGTGAAATATTAAACTTAGAAAAATTAACTGAAAAAGTACCGATTATTGATGCTCATGAAATTTGGGTATAGAAATTCATCAATGAAATATAATTGATTTTAAATAAATCTATTTTGTAGGGTGGTCTTTGGGTTCCTAATGATTTTATGGTTGATCCTGTACCATTAGCTTTAACATTTGCACAATTAGCAATAGATAAAGGTAACAAAAAAAACACCAAGAATTTTTTTTTATTCTTATAATTCTATCAATGATTTTTAGGAGTTAAAATTATTGAAGATTGTTATGTCAATGAAATTCTTACAGAAAAACAACGTGCTGGACAATATGATCGTGTGACTAGTGCTGTAACATCACAAGGAGATATTAAATGTAATATATTTATTAATTGTACAGGAATGGTAGGTTCCTTTTTTTTTTCTTATTTGAAAAATATTCAAAACAATACTTTGTTTTTCTTTTGTTAGTGGGCACGAGAACTTGGATTTCAATCTTTACCAAGTGTTCGAATTCCTACATTAGCATGTGGTAAGTGAGTTTTAAATTTCTATATTACCAAAAACAAAAATATCAAATAAAAATTTTTTTTTTTATTAGAATATATATGTTTAAAAACAAAACCAATAAAAGATTTTCCCAGTGGTATTCCCGTTGTTCATAATCCACACGAACGTTTTTATATTCAACCATTAATTGATCATAGTGTATTAATTGGTGGTTTTCTAAGTCAATCAAAGCCTCTTTTTGCAAATGGTGTTCCCGATACATTTCATTTTTCTCTTTTACCTGATAATTGGGATGATTTTCGTAAGTTATTTTTTGATTGTAATTAATTATCTATTATAAAATTATTAATAGATTGGATATTAAATAATGCAATTAAACGATTCCCTATTGTTGCTGAAAGTGAAAACGAAATATTGATTACTGGTGCTGATAGTTTTACACCGGATGGTCGATTAATTATGAATGAATCAGCTGAAGTTTGTTATTTATATTCGACTAAATATAATATTTTTTTTCATAAACGATAAATCTTTAGGTTGATAATTATTTTGTTGCATCTGGTGCAAATGGACAAGGTATAGCACTTGCTGGTGGTATTGGAAAATATATGGCTGAATTAATACATACAGGAAATACAGATTTAAGTACATGGCCCGTTGATATACGTCGTTTTATGCGTTTACATACAAATAAACGTTTTCTTGAAGATCGTCTTCGAGAAATACCAGGTAAAATTTTGATCATTTGTTTTTGTTTTCTATTATTTGTTCATGATGAATTATATTAGGAAAACAATATTCATTAAAATATCCAACATATGGTATGTCATTATATCAAACAGGACGAAAATTACGTGTTTCACCATTACATCCAAAATTACAAGCAGCTGGTGCAGTTTATGGTGAAGTACTCGGTTATGAACGTCCATTATTTTTCAAACCAGATGAACCAGGAAAAAGTATTTTGACGAAAAGAAAAAGAACTTTTTTTTGTTATTCATATATATTTTTTTTTAAATGTTTTGAAAGATTTCGAAGATTTAAGTAAACAAGGTACATTCAGTAAAGCACGATGGTTTAATACAGTCAAAAAAGAATATAATGTATGTCGAAAAGGTGTAGCTATTATTGATATGACATCATTTACAAAATATGAACTTAAATCAGCTAATCGAAGTGTTGTGGATTTTCTTCAAATGCTTTGTGCAAATAATATTGATAAACCAATTGGTACTGTTATTCATACAGGAATGTTAAATGAACAAGGTGGTTATGAAAATGATTGTTCTGTAATACGTCTTGGAGAATATCAGTAGGCTAAAGATTTGATTTTATTGAAATAAATATTTTTATTTTCTATTTTTAGTTTTCTTTTGGTTAGTCCAACATCACAATCTACACGTAATATGAAATGGCTTAAATCTCATGTACCAGAAGATGGTTCTGTTCTTCTATCAGATGTAACATCACTTTATACAGCATTAAATGTTATTGGACCAAAAGCAAAATATTTATTAGCTGAATTGAGTGATGAAAATTTTAATGATTTTGCAAGAATGACTTGTCAAGTAAGTCATATGTAGAACAAAATAAAATAAATACGATTACTAAGAGTAAAGAATATTAACTAGATATTTTGATTAAAG